GCTAAGGTCTAGGTTCAATCACCATCAGTCACACCCAGATACACACCACATCACCATTCTTTCCCTCTCACTACACAACCACATGCGACCTGACCGACTCCGGAGGGACCAGTCGCCTTGGATAGAGGTAAGTAAGCTTCGTCCAAATTCCTTCCGGTCGACTGGCCGTAGTATAACGCTCCCCCATATATTTTAGTGTAATTAGAGAGATTCCACGTGGCCACATTGAGGCCCGACCTACGTCTGTTCGGGAGGTATTCAGCTCATGGGCCCCTGGGGACTGGATCCTTTAAGGGAGCAGCCGTAGGCCGTAACAATGTACAAAGGCACTGCCTATTTCATGATTAAATTTCTTCCAGCAGGCCTATTGAAGGATGGTTGAAGGAAATAGAGGTAGTCAGTGTGTACTTACATAAATATGCATATACAATACAAATATATACAAACACACACACACACACATAGTAGTAGTAGTAGTAGTATATACTTTATTGTACACCACACATATACAACGAATAAATACATTACAGAGAAAACTTAATATATACGTATGTACAATAAGGCGGTCTTATCGCTAAAGAGCGATCTCTTCCAGACAACCTTTGGGCTAAAGAGAAACTGGAATTAAGAACAGTAGGAGGTGGTGCGCTTTATGTTACACTTACATACTAATATCTAAATAAACTAAACTATATTTTGTTAAAATACCACAATAATACATAAAAAATAATAATAAAATAAACATACATATTAATAAATAGGTATTAATAAATATATACACATACATATATATACATATATAAATGTATATATATAAATAAATATTATATATTATGAAATAATATATAATTCAATATAATATATTTTTAATGTTACATGCATACCAACACATTACGATTTAATAATTATGGAGTGAAATGTTGATTCATTGTTCATTGATTGATTCTCACAATAATTCAGTTATATGGAACCCCAAACATGAGCAACATAAAAATAAAACCTTGTAAGTAACTTGCCTAACTGTATTAAATAATACATGTTTAGTTGCGATTTCAGAGTACCTACCTAATGATAAATATTATTATAAATTATCTCTGCGTTTATGTTGCTCAGGGATAACGTAGCTTAGGGGCTTCTTTTGGGCTATCATTTATTTTGAAAAAACCCCCAGCGAAGCGGGCACGGGTCAGCTAGTAGATCCTATAAAGGTTTCTTTTTCCTTTTGAGGTCGGAACCCTAAAAAGGACAAACTGGGATTATTGTTGTATGTGTAGTTTTTTTTTTCGTTCACTCTGAGAAGAGTGAAGCGCTGTATAAGTATATGACAGCGGCCGCGATTGCCCTAACGTCCATCATCATCTAGCTACCAACGCAGAATGAAACACGCCAACGTGTGAACGGCACCACGAAAATCTGCCTAGTACGCTCGCCAAGCGCGCTCGGCCAACGTGTACTGGAGTTATAGCTTGCTACATATATATTTATCTATGTTCATTGTTCAAATCAGTTCAAATTACCACTGTTGCCGTTTTAGTGCTTTTCGCACTAAATCTAGCGCATTTTTTAGCTCTTCAGCGCTTTTTTTCAAAAAAAGACGCGCTAAACATAATTTAGTGGAATCTGGTGGAATATTGAAAAAGATATTGTCAACCTCCAACTAGGCCAAAAAGGGTCCAGAACCAAAAACGTAGAAAAAATAATATGAGTTCATTCTGTTCGGGTATTCCCCAACCACAATGTTTGATTTAGTCTGTTGTTTTGTCTCTTTTTACATTAAAGGATTTTACTACGGCTGTCTCGCTCGTGTTACTAACAGAGAAAAACCGGTTTATTTATCTTATTGCGGCAGGATTTAATGCTTTCCAGGATTTAGTGGACCTGGCTACCAGTGCTTTATCGCTTCCACATTCCAATGCTGAGATTGAGCGCATATTCAGCGTAATGAACATTGTCAAGTGCAAGATACGCAACAGAATGTCAGCTGTTACATTGAATTCTATTTTGCTTATACGGCACTAAATGGGATTATTAAAGAAAACACCTACGAATTACCGGAAAATGTCCTAAAATGACAAAAACTAACAAAAAAGGAACTTCAGCTGGCGAAAGTACATCACAGACAATAACACCTAAAATTATGATGAAACTGACCACGAAAATGTGACTGAGTTATTGGACATGGTTGATTTTAACAATTAAATAAAATTATTATAAAGCCATTAATTGTGTTTTTCTTATCTTTTCAATTATAACCAAAAAATTTAACCATGCGAAAAGTTTAGTGGATTTTAGCGCTTTTTTTAGCCCCGGTTTTTTCAAAATATAGCGCTTTTTTGACAAGAGTTTGGTGGTTTTCTTTTTCATCTAATGGCTCCAGTACACGTTGGCCGAGTGCGCTTGGCGAGCGCGCTCGGCAAATTTTCGTGGCGCCGTTCACACGTTGGCGTGTTTCATTCTGCGTTGGTAGCTAGATGATGATGGACGTTAGGGCAATCGCGGCCGCTGTCATATACTTATACAGCGCTTCACTCTTCTCAGAGTGAACGAAAAAAAAAACTACACATACAACAATAATCCCAGTGTGTCCTTTTTAGGGTTCCGACCTCAAAAGGAAAAAAGAAACCTTTATAGGATTTACTAGCTACCCGTGCCCGCTTCGCTGGGGGTTTTTTCAAAATAAAAGATAGCCCAAAAGAAGCCCCTAAGCTACATTATCCCTGAACAACATAAACGCAGATATAATTATTTATAATAATATTTATCATTAGGTAGGTACTCTGAAATCGCAACTAAACATACATGTTTAGTTGCGATTTCAGAGTACCTACCTATTTAATGCAGTTAGGCAAGTTACTCTGGTTTTATTTTTATGTTGCTCATGTTTGGGGTTCCATATAACTGATTCATTGTGAGGATCAATCAATGAACTATGAATCAATCTTTACTCCATAATTATTAAATCGTAATGTGTTGGTATGCATATAAGTAACATTAAAAATATATTATATTGAATTATATATTTTTTCATAATATATGATATTTATTTATATATATACATGCGTATATATATATGTGTGTGTGTGTGTGTATGTATATGTATATATTTGTATTGTATATGTATATTTATGTAAGTGCACACTTTGACTACCTCTATTTCCTTCAACTATTCTTCAATAGGCCTGCTGGAAGAAATTTCATCATGGAATAGGCAGTGCCTTTGTACATAATTATGTTTTTACCATTTTCCTATCGAATTATGTGTGTACATAAACTGTTAAATAAATAAATAAATATTTCCTCATTACTCCATGTCGCCATGTTGAAACAATTTTATCAAGCCGACACTACAGTCTACTCCGACGCGTAACTATGAACTGAACACTCGGCCAACGTGTGAACACTGTTTGCGGCTTGCGCCAAATTCCTTTGATTTGTGCACGGAAAACCGACACTATACGGCTCGTCGGCGAGCGTTGGCCGCAAACGCCAAATATATACAAAACGGCCCAGTACACGTTGGCCGAGTGCACTCGGCGAGCGCGCTCGGCCAACGTGTACTGGAGCCATAACGGCAACACTGCAAATTACCCGCCTAAGGGTATTAGTGTTCTGTGGCAAATTACTCTTTGGTACAAATTTGTTTGTTGCGGTTTGCGGTACACACGTGCTTCGTGCTTTTACTTGTTAACTTCAATTGGCGTTTAATTTATGTTAATCTATTTCAGAAAAAGTATTACTACAACCTCATTCAAACAACGAAAAACTATTTCTTTCATTATCCCTCAGTGACGCGAGCAATCGCTGAGAGGTTGGAACTTTTATTTTCATAAGTTACAACTTCGATATCAATATGGTAAGTGAACTAAAATTATTGGTACTTGTGTAAAATTATGTATAATTATAAAGTGTATATATACAGTCTCACATAGTGTAAATTCTGAAAGCGTGTCTGTGCATGCTTTCAGATTTTCCTAGCTACTACTATTATATATGCACGAACACATGTGCATATTAGGTTATGTTATTGCTTACTGTTATTTTATAAAGTAGTGTTAGGCTTATTGTATATGACTTTAAATTAATATTAAATGTGTTATGCAAATATTTTTTTTCATGGTTTCTTGTACGAAACTATATTTTGTGTGTATAGGACAATTATTTTTTGTAGACAATGCTAAAACCATGAAGTCTACCTTTTGTTTTTAAGCAAAACATTGTGTAAGCTTCAATTAAGAACTGATAAAAAATCAGGTAACATTTCAATTTGTTTCAGGCTGAAACTGAAGTTGCTGTCAATCCAAAAGCCTACCCTTTAGCTGATGCTCCACTTACTGCAAAGATCCTTAATCTTGTACAGCAGGCTGCTAACTACAAACAGCTTCGCAAAGGTGCTAATGAAGCCACCAAAACATTGAATCGTGGTTTGTCAGAATTCATTATTATGGCAGCAGATGCTGAACCTTTGGAAATTGTTTTACACATTCCAATACTTTGCGAGGACAAGAATGTGCCATATGTGTTTGTTAGATCAAAACAGGCATTGGGTAGAGCATGTGGTGTCTCAAGACCAATTGTTGCATGCTCTATTACAATTAATGAGGGCTCACAATTGAAACCGCAAATTCAAAGTATTCAACAGGAGATAGAAAGACTCTTAGTGTGAGTGTGTGATATGTGCATACTGTTTTTTGAAATATATAAGTGTATTTACAAACCTATCATGTTTAAATTCTATTGTCACCTTTATTGTTATATTTCTGACCATTATCTGCTATCAAATGTCCACTGCTGATTGCACGCTTAGATGGTCTCTATATCAATATTTGCCATAGTTGTCACACTTGGTAAGGATTTTTTTATATATCCTACTACTATAATCGTAAAATAAAATTTAACAACAGTTATAGAAAATATATTTATAATAAAATTGCAAAATTTAAACTTAATTTCTCACTTTTAATAAACAATTATTAATATCAAAAATTGGACTTCAGAAAATGCTATAATTCAAAAAATTTTTTTGCTCTTAAATTCCAGTTTCCTTCCCATCTTGACTCTTGGAATTTTGATAATTCTCTTCTCATTCTTTCTGCTATCTTATTCTTCTCATTATTGTTGGGGAAACCTTCAAACCACCCAACTATAAGTTTGGACAGCTCATCACTTGTCTTAAATACATAACCATTTACACCTTCTTGAACAAGTTCTTCAAGGCTGTAAAATGTAAAATTAACATATTTAACAATTATTAACAAAAGAGTTAGTTTACAAAGGCCTGGCTAAGGGCTTGTTTAGAGACCAGGTTGACTCTAAGAAATAACAAAAAAATGAGAATAGTTCCTAGTAAAGCCACACTGCAGCTGCACTGGGTCAGATTCACTGGGGAAGGACCATACTGTCACAGAAAAATAATGTGAAATAGCAGCTTAATGCTGCTGTTTCGTATGGTGAATGGAGATGCTTTTTACTGGAAACAATTAATTCCATCTTTATCCTTAAGGGTCAACGCATCTGTATTTTCATTCTTAATTCAGGATAGATGTAGATGCCTATGGGCCACATCATGTACTTACACTCACCTACATGTACAGTCTACATCATGTAGACTGTGCTGGTTTGCCATACTTATTCTATAAAAACTATAATCTGTGATCAAACAGTCACAAATAATTTATTTATTTATTTATTAGAAAACTATGGCATGATTACAATAATAGTATACAACCTTTACTTAGTTTTAAATTAAAGCTAATTACAGTTTTCTTACTTAAAAATCATAACTTAAGAGTACGAGCAGAAAGAGTAATTTAAAAATATGTGTATATATATATATATATATATATATATATATATTCACACATATATATTTACATATTATGTATATATATATACATAATGTGTGTGTATATGCGTTTGTGAGAGAGTGTGTGTCTGTGTGTGTGGAGGTATGTGTGTGTAAAATGCTTTAGTATTATATAAATTAACATGCTATATTGATGTTACATAAGCTTTTTGATGACGACGTGTTTAAAACCATATGTGGTCGAATTAAAGGGATCTATATCAGAAAATTTCGTGTTGTAATTATGTAGTATCCTAGACAGAACTGAGTTTGATGAATAACTGGTACGCGACAAAGGTACATGGAATAAACGTTTATTTGTATGACGAGTGCGCTTTGAAGGTACATTAAGCGATATCATCGATAGCAGCTCCGGAGAATCTATTTGACCTGTGAGCAATTTATGCAAAAATAACATATCGAGCAACTCGCGCCGATCTCTTAATGGTAGAAATCCGTAAAAACGACAGCTATCTCCGTAGATAACACAATTTGGACTCATTTTGAAATTTAGATATTTAATGAAATTTTTCTGGATGGATTCAATGGCATCAATATGCTTTGCGTACTGTGGAGACCATACACAGCTCGCATATTCGAGTAAGCTTCTTACATATGCAAAGTAAATGGCGTTTATGCACTTGATATTACTGAAAGGCTTGCACACACTAAATACAAAACCTAGCATTTTATATGCTCTTTCTGTTATGCAGTTTATATGGTCCACCATTGTGAGCTTGGAATCCAAAATTACTCCTAAATCCCTAACCCTACAAGATTTGTGTAGGGGAATATTATTTATTGTATATTGAAATAATACCGGATTTTTTTTACGTGTAAAGGTTATTTGATTACACTTCTCCACATTGATGCTTATTCTATTAATGTTATAATATTTTGCTAAACTGTCTAAGTCATTTTGAAGGAGTATACAATCTTCAATTTTTCTTACGTTACAGTAAACTTTTTTGTCGTCAGCAAACATTAGAAATTTAGAATGCCTAAGATATGAATGTATATCAAATAGATAAGCATTGTAGAGGAGTGGGCCTAAATGAGAACCTTGTGGTACTCCAGATTTTATAGTTATAAAGTCTGATCTGCACCCGCCAACAATTGTTGCTTGTCTCCTATTAGATATATATGATTTTATCCAGTCTCCGTTGATACCTAATACCTGTAATTTATGCAACAAGATAACGTGATCCACTCTGTCGAAGGCCTTTTCAAAATCCGTATAGATCACGTCAACCTGTGCACCTACATCCATGCTGTTTAATATGTCGTTGGTAAAAATGCTAAGATTAGTAGTAGTAGAGCGATTGCTCATAAATCCATGTTGTTTATTAGGAATTGCTCGTGCTACAATTGGATATAAATTGGCATATAAAATTTTCTCCAATAACTTCCCCAATGTATTTAGGATAGAGATGGGACAATAATGGTCGATTTTAGTTTTAGTGCCTTTTTTATGGATAGGAATGATGTGCGCTTCTTTCCATTTCCATTCTAATAATTATTACTTACAGAATGACTGAATAAGCTGTGAAGTTCATGTGCTATCAAATGTTTCCTTTCAATAATGTGTGGAGTGTGTGTAAAGGCAAAAACAATACACTAATAAGACCTTATACATATCCTACTCAGTCTGAAACTTGGTAGTTAGTAGCAACAGTCCATATGTAGCTGCAATACTCAGATGGCAGAGTATATGCCTTGCACAATGTTTGTCCTGGTGAAGTACCCTCACATCTCTGCAAGGGCACAAAACTTATTGGGATTACTGCCTACAGCTCCAGATAAATACATCAAATTGGTTATTTTCCCAGTGCAAACATATAACCACTGTCTGGAACTATCTTATAATATATGAACACATCATATACTATCCCTGGTATTATTTTTACTTGTTCTCACTTTCAAAATATCAATGCATAAAATTGTAACAATTAATAATAGAATGTACAACTCTTATCTTACTGATCATGATAAAAAATAATTAAAAATTATGTACAACTGACTTCAATATAGATTATTAACAATAACTCAAAAACTATTGGTCAGACCTTGATAAAATTTATATGGGACCACATGTGAAGCACCAGCTCTCAAATAAAAAAAGAATCATTGAAATCTGTTCACTCAGTAAAAAGTTATGAGGTAACGCACATAAAAAAATATACAGTCAAATTGAGTACTGTTTCCTTTTTGAAGTCGGTAGAAAATAAAGAATGAATCAATTTTTATAGGGATCCCGATTTGTTGAACTGATTTTAATTTTAAACTCGAAACCATAGCTAGTGCATAATTACATGGTAGTATAAATTGTCAGATTTGTTTGTATAAACTGCTAAATGGTGGTAGTATTCGCATGTGACGAGAACGCTTTTTTTTTGATAAGTTTACCCTATTAATGTAATAATTATTTAAAGATTAATCCTCTATAATATTCCAGATAATGAAATATCTGGATGTGGTTAGCGGTGATGATAATGCTTGATCGTAATGCAATCATGTTTATTAATTTAAATTGGTTCAGGAGTGAATACTATAATAGTATTTAGAATTAAAATCAGATTCGAAAAACGTTATTTTGGATCGAAAACCAAATCTAATTTGGGAGTAACCCTTCTTGAACATGTGAATGAATGTCACAAGTAAAATTTATAGTTTAATGTCAAAGGTACTTACCATCTAAAGGAGAATGCACATACAGGTAAACCAGCCCCAAACATATCAACAACCTTCATAGGTAAATCTAAGCCAGAGGAACTGGTATGAAGACACACCCCCAGGTCTGCACTAGCCACCATAGTGGGATAATCGCATGCATCCAACCATGGGGTTAAGACTTTAACATGTTGCCAATTTTTAGATGTTATGAGATCTATATAGTGCTTCTTCATGGGGCCTTTGCCAGTTATCACACATATTAGTTTAGGTAACTTCTTAGTTAAATCATATGCCGTTTCATATACTGAAAAAATACATTGTAATTATTTAATTACAAAGTGATAGTGAAAATTATGAACTCATTTCAGTGAATGTCAGTATGTCCTCCCATTTTCGAACAGTAGCCAAGGATCAACTGTGCAGGTATTATGTTGTCACAAGTATATACAAAAACAAACTTTTAATACTTATGAGATAAGATCAGAGATTAATTGTGCTATTACACAAATTTTTCTCAGCTGGAATTCAAACTTGGGACACATGACTGAGTAACCAAGGGCTTAGACCACTAGTATATTTATATATATTTATATTTGACATTGAGACATGTGAAGTGTGACCAACAATCAATGATTTTCTTATTAGGCGAATGTTACACATGAAATAAATCTAATTTTACGGATTTTGTCGCTGTGTGCAAGTGCCCAAAACGTCGGGGGATTACAAAAAAATTAAATTAAACATGATAAAATCTTGCCGTGTAGTGGCGGTCAAGAATATCCACTACCCCATATCCTCCCGTGGGTGTCGTAAAAGGCGACAAAGGGAAACAGGCAGGAGATGGGCAGCAGCATCTTCCTGATAATAGCCAAATTACAATAAAAAAACTGCGGTTGCCAACCCGCTCGCCAAGCGTGGCAACTATGGCAAATACCCCCCAATGAATAAAGCAACAAACAGACGGCCCCCAGTCCCCGGCGGCCCCGCTATTCCTGGCTACGGTGGCGACCATGGTAACGGCGGGGCAGGGGGTGCTAAGAATCTCCGGTGGAGGTTCGGTTGCCACCTTAGACGACTCGACCTGGCAACGTACAACGCACGCACCCTGAGGACTGACGAGAAGATCGTGGAGCTGGAAGAAGAGATAGACAAGTTGCGCTGGCATATTATAGGATTATCCGAAGTCCGAAGAGAGGGGGAGGACACGGTAATCCTCGAATCCGGCAACTTGCTCTATCACCGGGAGGGCGACCATCTGTCCCAAGGAGGTGTCGGATTTATCGTCCACAAGTCTCTCGTTAACAACGTTGTAAAGATCGGGAGTGTGTCGACGAGGGTTGCGTACCTTATACTCAGAATCACCAAACGGTATTCGCTGAAGGTCATACAGGTTTACGCACCAACCTCGGCACACCCCGATGAGGAGGTGGAGGAAATGTATGAGGATATCTCTAGAGCCATGCATTCCTCCAAAACCCAATATACGGTGTTAATGGGAGACTTCAATGCAAAACTAGGCACAAGAGAGAACGGTGAGCTAAAAGTGGGGAAATTCGGAATAGGGCTACGGAACCCAAGGGGCCAGCAGCTGGCCGACTTCATGGAGAAAGAGGGACTCTTTATGATGAACTCTTTCTTCCAGAAGCGGCCCCACAGGAAGTGGACCTGGTCGAGCCCCGATGGTTCCACAAAAAATGAGATTGACTTCATTATGACGACCAGACGACAACTGTTCAGTGATGTCTCCGTGATCGCGAGGGTGAAAACTGGTAGCGATCACCGAATGGTTAGAGGCACACTGAACCTAAACGTTAAGTTGGAGAGGTCTCGTCTAATGAAGTCAACGCTCCGTCCCCTTCGTGCTCTGTTCCAAAGTCCCGAAACCTTTCAGCTCGAGTTACAAAACCGTTTTCAGTGCCTGGAAGACTGCAATGAAGTGGACGATATGAATGACAAGCTCGTGGAAACTGTCCATGCGGTCGGAGCTAAGTTCTGCAAGACCCGCCGCAGAAGAACACAAAAACTCTCCGATCACACTCTTAATCTCATGGCTGTTAGACGGGAGATGAAGCTGCATACTTCAACAGACTTGACAGCATACAGGCATCTGAACAGACAGATCTCCAAATGCATGCGGCGGGACTTACGCAACTTCAATACAGCTCGTATTGAAGAAGCGATCGAGCGGAACCAAGGCTCCAAAGTCTTTGCCAGAGATCTGTCTGCCAGAAAGAGCCAACTGTCAAAGCTGAAGACAGAATGTGGCAGCATCGTTTCCGGGACACCTGAGATTTTGAGTGAGATTGAGAGGTTCTATGGGCAGCTGTACACATCATCGTTGGAGCCACACGCAAGTGTGAGTAACGATCCAAGAGCGAGTCTCATCCGACACTATTCCGAAGATATCCCGGATGTCAGTCTGAGCGAGATTAGAATGGCTCTCCAGCACCTTAAAAACGGTAAGGCCCCAGGCGAGGATGGAATTACAGCGGAGCTTCTGAAAGCGGGTGGAAGACCGGTACTTGAAGTCCTTCAGAAGCTCTTTAATTCCGTCCTCCATGGTGGCATTACACCGGAGGCGTGGAGCAGAAGTGCGGTGGTCTTGTTTTTCAAGAAAGGCGACAACGCTCTCTTGAAGAACTACAGACCGATTTCCCTTCTGAGCCGCGTCTACGTGCTGTTTTCGAGAGTCATTACGAATCGTCTCGCGCGCAGACTTTACGACTTCCAGCCTCCCGAACAAGCCGGTTTCCGAAAGGGCTTTAGCACCATAGACCACATACATACCCTTCGGCAAATTGTACAGAAGTCCGAAGAGTACAATTTGCCACTATGTCTGGCGTATGTGGACTATGAGAAAGCCTTTGATTCCGTCGAAATTTGGGCGGTGCTGCAGTCCCTTCAGCGGTGCCAAGTTGACTGTCGGTATATCGAAGTGTTGAAGTGCTTGTACAGTAGGGCTACGATGGCTATCCGAGTACAGAACCAGAGTACGAAACCTATCCAATTGCAGAGAGGTGTAAGACAGGGTGACGTCATATCCCCGAAACTCTTCACCACTGCATTGGAAGACGTTTTCAAGCTTCTGGACTGGAAAGGATACGGTATCAACATCAATGGCGAGTACATCACTCACCTTCGATTTGCCGACGATATAGTCCTTATGGCAGAATCGCTGGAGGACCTAAGCACTATGCTCAATGACCTCAATAGTGTTTCCCAACGGATAGGTCTTAAGATGAACATGGACAAAACAAAGATCATGTTTAATGTCCATGTCACACCTATGCCGGTAGTTGTTGGGAGCACTAAGCTCGAAGTTGTTGACGAGTATGTTTACCTGGGACAAATAGTCCGACTAGGTAAGTCCAACTTCGACCGAGAGGTCAATCGACGGATTCAACTCGGCTGGGCAGCGTTCGGGAAGCTACGACACATCTTCTCGTCAGACATACCTCAAAACCTTAAAACGAAATTGTACAACCAGTGCGTGTTGCCAGTGATGACTTACGGAACTGAGACGTGGTCCTTCACTGCTGGCCGGATGAGGAAGCTCAAGGTCGCTCAGCGAGCTATGGAGAGGGCTATGCTCGGAGTTTCTCTGCGTGATAAACTTAGGAATGAGGATATCCGCAGTAGAAGCAGAGTAACCGACATAGCCCAACGGATTAGTAAGCTGAAGTGGCAGTGGGCCGGCCATATAGCTCGAAGAACCGACAACCGATGGGGAAGAAAGGTTCTCGAGTGGCAGCCTCGTACCGGTAGGCGAAGTGTAGGGCGTCCCCCCACGAGATGGAGTGACGACCTGGTAAGACATGCAGGAAGTCGATGGATGCAGGTGGCTCAGGACCGTGCTTTGTGGCATTCTTTGGGGGAGGCCTATGTTCAGCAGTGGACTTGTGAAGGGCTGTAATGAATGAATGAATGATAAAATCTGTAAAATTTGTTTTATTCCAGCAATAGACAGTTGTTTGCAATTGCTGAAGTATTATAACTGCTTCTTACAGTTAGAAAATGCCTCGGACATTAATAAGGTGATTGTGTGTATTTTAAGTTTAAATAAATAAATATTGTGGATGTCTAGCAGTAATGAGGTAATCCAAGACTTTTTTCAGCCAGGGTGGTGCCACTTAATGACAAAATCATAGCGGGGAAGTTAATTTGTTCGAAAAATGTAAATATTAATGTTTCTTTTTGTACTATTAGTTATATTTTATATTCATTAGATTAAGAGTAAATAAACCAAACCACAGATATTCATGAAAATTGAAAAATTAAAAAAAATTAAATATGTGCAAAAAATTAAAGAGCAAACCACTGAGGCATTGTTTTGTGTATTAATATAATACTCTAGAAGCTGATAAATTTTTATTTAAAACCAACTTCACATTTAAAATAACATTGTGTTACAAAAAACTATCTCAGTGTCAACTAGTGACATCTAGTGACAAACAATCCAAGAAAGACCTGAGTACTGAACATTTGATGATGATTGGTGATTTAGTACTTTACAATATTAAGGCTGGCTTTAAATATTTATAGCTTGAGATGTAATATATATTATAGCACAGTGTAAACGGTTCCATATAAAATGTATGGTGAGCGATATTAATTTATATCTCGAGATGTAATATATATTATATTACACTGTAAACTGAACCAAAAACCGGGCTTTACTGTAAACCGAAGTTGATTGAATGTGCCTTAGAGTACTATCATAGTACTGAGAGTAACTAAACTTACTAAATACAGATAACATAAACATAATTAAATTGAAATAAAAGATTCATTCATTTCAACTTCATTCATTACAGCCTATTAAAGCCCACTGCTGAACATAGGCCTCCTCATTAATTGCCTCATATGGCATATTTGCCACAGTTGCAATTGTTATTAAGAACATGCTGCTGCCCATGTACTGGTTTGTTTCCCTCTGTGTTGAGGTAGCAGAAGAATATCCCCGTTTCTACATATTTTTAATTTCTTTATTTATAATGGACAACCATGGTAGCTGTGACGCTAAGCGCTCACCGTAAATATCACATTATCAGAGCAGCTGCTTTTGATCCTTGCCGGTGCCAATAAAATTGTTTTCAATTTAAAGTGCTGATTTACCACGCGCTTGGTGTAGAAGAAAACATCTTGATAAAATCTGAATGTGTAAAAAATATAATATTTCAATATGAAGTCCACCAACATACACTGGAGCTGTGCGGCAGATATCCTTCCCATAACCCTCTCAAAATTAAAGGACCTGTGCTCAGGAGTGGGTTGTATAAATGTAAATTTAATTTTTAATGGCAATTGACTTTTAGCTAGCGTAAATAACTAATGTTTCAGAGAAATAAAAGAAAAACCTTGCAATGCTTCCATTAGAACACTAAAATCTTCATCAGGGGTCCAACTAGTACTGCTAAAAAGTAATCCTGGTCTGTCTAGTCGCAACTTCAATTCATTGCCATCAATTAAAGTGAAAGCTGTTTTCATTTGATTTTCTATATTTTCTGCTTCACTATTGTATGAAAATTCTGGATATTTTTGACTAAGCTTAAGGAACCAATCATGTTTCTCTTGTAATGTTATTGGATGAAATATATGTGGTGGCCGATCATATAGAACAGTAGCACTAAAATACAAAAACTAATATTGTTACTTTATACACAAACCTAAGCAATTGCTATACAATTCAATTATATTTTTTATAATTCTTATAATGAAAAGGCCCTAAATCTACCCCTGTTTATGTGAATAAAATAGTCCATGTATAGAAAAAAAATCTAATTAGAAAACATTATTAAAAACAAAAATCGATATACTTACTTTATGTTCCAATTTTCAGACAAGTCTTCCTTCATAGCATATGTAACACATAGATTGTTATGAGCCGACTGGCCAAAGTATCGCTCTATAAATGTATATATCTTTAATAATATTTTTAGGCCTGGAGATATTGACAGTGCCAATATTGTATGACCATAGTTGTGCCAGTCAATTATAAATTTTGTTCTAGTCACAAGACAGTAAAAACGACATACTGGCAATGTGGGTACTGCTGGTGGGTTTTGACATAATAAGTAATCACAATGTCCTGTTATTAGAAGTGTTAGAAACAAACTTATGGCCTGCCAGAGTGTTTTCATAATAAACTGGAAGATTTTTGGACCCTTGTCGAAATTACAACTGTAAAGCTTAGTAATGGTAATATTTGGGTTTTCGAGTACTTCTGTCAGAGGCACAGAATCCATATAACTTATTACATTAACTTTAAAGCCATTATTACTTAAAGATAAAGCATGATATTGCATACGCGGACTTCTACCTAAATCACCCATTACTATTACCTTAACAATTTTTTTTTTTCGCTGTTCAGACATAACGTTATACCTTATATCTTATTCCTAATATATTTCAATTCATTAATTTTATTTAATTATTATTAATTAATTAGTGCTCCTTGACTATTTCATATGATTACGCTAGTGTTTCTTATTTAGTTTGTGGAAGAACCACAGAACACTAATACCCTTAGGCGGGAAGAATGTCAACTTCAAACAAAGAAAATGGCACCCATAATGCACGCCATCTCTGTCGTGCCCCCTAAAACTTTTTGCGCGGGAATTTTGACACGTGATTTTTTTTTAGTTGTCGTCTTGGTTGTTTCGTTTCAAAAATGGCTTAAGAATGTAAAATACCATATAGATAGATATAGCTTGTAGTTTTTCGTTTCAATGATATATATTGCTAAATTAAAACGAAAACAAAAGCACAAAGTTATTTGTAAATTATGGTACTTTACATTCATAAACCACTTTTGAAACGATTAGCAATCATTTTAATATAAAAAAGGAACTATTTTTCAAATAAAAGTGGTTTTTGAAATACATAATTTTTATTTACATTACATACTTGTCTACATTGGTACATAGAAAAACCGTTGGTACATTGATGGACGTAAGTGACGGAGTAATTAACTAATTTTTAACATGGCATATGTAACATGACATTTAAGCAAAATGGAAAGTAAAGGTACATTGGTTTTATATAAAAAAGATTAGACAATCTAATATAAACACTTTTTTCTAACAAGAAAACATTATTTACCTTCACATTCTACAAACAAGGCAATAGCTTTGCAATATTATGTCTAAACTCCAATAACCTGATTATATTATAGATGCCACCAATAATATTACATTTGTAGAAATTATTTTCGTTATGTTATTGTTATTGACTGCATTAAAAACTAATAAGTCAACATTTTCATGTCATTAATTAGCACTACCTGCTGCAAATCCATCCACGAAAAACAAAAAGGATAAAGATATGTTGATAAAAATGAAATATCATCTGAGAAAAATTAACAGGCTTCAAAAAACTGTAAAGCATCTAAAGAATGAAGAATTTCTCAAAGTATTGAGCAAAAATAACTCCGTAAATGAAATATTAAAATGTAAAATATCCCCCTCTTTTGCAAACTGCTCTTCAAAGAAAAACTGATATCCTGCAGAATAAATAAGATGTTACATGGATATATACGTAATTAACTAATTTTTAACTTTATGCATGTAAACAGTTCTGAACAGCTCTTAACTAAATATCGATTTAATAGTTAAGTAGTTATTATTATTTTTCGATAATACAGGTAGATGTCCAAGTGTCACAGCATTTACTTGCTAAATTCTATAAAAATACAAATGTATGTGATATCCATATCCCACAGTAAACTTAAAAGTTAGTTGCATAGCAATACGATTGTTTGTAGGGTGACTAATAAACTATCCGACATTAAACGATAAAAAGACTGTAAGGTATGATTCGCACCAGTAAAGTGATAGTTTCGAAAATACTATATTCGAAATCCAAAAGTGGCTCTATATGGCAAATATTTTAAAAAAAAACTTAAATTTAAATCCTACCTGCCTCACGGAAGCAAGGAATATCTGACCCACTCCGACTAAAACTCTCAGATGTTTCATCTTCACCACTTATCGGCAGGACTACGGGTACACTTTTACACACATCCATAGCCTCATCAGCGCTAGTCACTCCTTGGCAGCCTCTCTCGAGAGAGGACAAATCCTCCCTCTCCTTTTATCTCCTTATATAATGTCACCACTGAAGTGATTATGACTGTACATATAGAAAAAGTAGTTCCATGTAATATCTTATTTATTCTGCAGGATATCAATTTTTCTTTTAAGAGCAGATGCAGAGTACTCTTCTGCAAATTGCCGATTTTTCAAAATACAAAATCTCTTCATACAAATGTGAAATACGCTATTAAATAAGTAATCTATATTCATATCTTTATGTTCTGGACATTCATCGAGAAACTCCCAATTTATTGAGTTTTTGAACAAAACTTTAATTGTCCCTTTTAATTTTTTTTTATATGCTTCTGCCTCTAAAAAATCATAAATCATCGTAGCACTACTTTCAATACAGTTAATGAGGTTTTTAGAGGCGTATTTAAGGGACTTTTTTAGATCACTATATTCTTTAAAGTCAATAAAAGTATGTGATCTCTCTTGTGTCTCAGATACAAAAATTTTTTTACAAATTTCACATTTGTTGAGATTATTTTTTACTATAAACCCACAGACATAGGCACATGCTTGTATTTCGCCACTGCTTTCTTCCAAGCTACATTCAAATGTAGAATTTACACTTTCTTCTAACTCATCGGTTAAAATTGTGGCATAAGCAGTGTGTGTGTCTGTGGGTGGAGACAATAAAGATTTAAAATTTGTCAATATAACTTGATTTTGGTCTTCTTCACAATTTCCTGTCCCAATAAAAGATAAGTTGCTAAGGACAGCCGTTTTAAGACCCGCAACAAACTGCCCAGCAGCGGGATTTGAATTGCAGCCGCAATTGACCCGAATGCATCCAAAAAGATTTTCTAACGGGTCCTGCTGGAGCCTTCTTGTTTCCAAACTTTTTATTGATTTATGTTTGGAACTGAGATTTCTCCAAATTCGTTCTATTCCATTGATAGACCATATCCAACCTTCTTGGGATGGAGGAGCTCGTAATGCATCCCAAAAACGTCATTTCTTTAAAAAAATTCTTCATTAAAGTGAAATGTGTGAGATGTGGTGTATTATTTGTCATGTTTGTCGAATATGGTTTCCCCCTTCTTAGGTCTGGTGAGCATGCGTTGACACAATCAAACAGCTTGTCCATATTTGCAATAACATTAGCTGTAGTGACAGCCTCTGAAGAGAGTTCCCCTGTAAACAACACATAATTTAAGATCTTACTATTAGGATTAAAGAAACATGATTTAAAGTATGTTACAAGACAACTCAAAAATAATATCACATATTAGTATCACACAATAAACAATAATTTGTACTTGGGAGAGCCTAGTTCCTTTTTAAGTTAATAATTATTTTAATGGGTGGACATATGTTTAAATATTATACTTTAAATTATAAATTTAATTTACCTTGTGAAATTTTAGCATACATTCCTGCAGCAACTGAGTGGCTTAACACTTGTGCAGCTAGCTTCACCTTCATCTTCTGCTTCATATTTGGATTTAAATGTTCTTGTTTTAAGCAAGGTGCAAACACAAAATTGGGATTGGTGTTATCTGTTTCATAAAACTCCTTTATATGGCTCCATTTAGCAACACCTGTAAAAAAAATTTGTGTAAATATCCAGTAAATTGGAAATATGTATAATATTATGATTGTAATAAAACAAAATATCTTACCAAATCCAATTTGATCATTTGATGTTATATTTGTTGGATATTTAATGTCATATTTTAAAAACATATTTCTAAAGCATTTGAGCAAATGCGGAGTATCAAAAATGGTAACCACTTCTCGATTATTTAGCAGAATATATGGCTGTTCTACAGATGCTCCCAAGATACTTAAAGCTCTCTTATTCACACCATCCATATCACACACTGTAGCTGAAATATTAATTCCAGCATCAAAACAATGTTGCAGGACCTAGAATGATAAAAGGGTAAATTAATATGGTAAAAAAGTACTACTACATATATTGACATAATAACAAATAAAAGACCATAATGCTCACCTCCTTAGAATAATAATAAGCAATTGGTTGTTTCAGCTTTTTACGGATTCCGCCAATCATGAACACGAGGGCATGTGTTGCCATTTGTGGTGACCTGCTCTGCAGTGCATGGTCTTGATAACCCTCAATTATGTCCTCCTTTTTGTTGTAAAACAAATACTTTTTTATTGACATCTCATCAAACATAAGGATATACTCATTGTCTGAGGGAGTCTGTTGCTTTATTGTTTTTTTAAAAACATTAAAAATTTGGTCATTAATACCAACTTTCATGTGAAACTTGCTTAATAACGCTTTTAATGAACTAGGTGTTGGCAGGCAAATCATCCTACTTAATAATTTGTAACACCTAGGTGACCTTTTATACAGTCTTAGTGCTATTATTTTGGAGTCCATGTTCCATCTTCGACCTTATGATTTTTTTTTATAGTTTTGCCATTCTCCTTGCAAAAATAATGCAAAAGAGGGGGATATTTTACATTTTAATATTTCATTTACGGAATCATTTTTGCTCAATACTTTGAGAAATGCTTCATTCTTTAGATGCTTTACAGTTTTTTGAAGCCTGTTAATTTTTCTCAGATGATATTTCATTTTTATCAACATATCTTTATCCTTTTTGTTTTTCGTGGATGGATTTGCAGCAGCAACAGGGTTGATATTCTCAGTTACTTGAGGAATATCACTAGTTATGTCAGGAATGGTTTTATAATTTACACTCTCACACAAGGGTTGTATAAATTTTGACGGACCCGCAACAGGCTCAAATACATTTGAAACAGTTATAGTCTTCTGAATATTTTCAGACAGTGGTTGTTTATTAGTTGATGCAATATGTTGAATGACATTCCTTTGTTCCAAATTAAGGTCAGCTAATGTGATCTGAAAATTAGAGATTATCAAATCATTATTTATATCATGTATCCCAGCATTGGTCAACCAATCCCTAAATTTCAAACAGCCTTATAAATTTATAAACATTAAATACAACTTGTTTTTTTTAATGAACCACCACCATCCTATTTTTAAGACACTATTTTAACAATTTCTTTTATTTGTAAATATATTCTGTAAGTAACTAAATTATAATCATGTCATTTAAACAACATTGACAGCTCGCGGAGCAGTGGCTAGCATTGAGTTGCGGCACTAAAGGTCACAGGTTCGAATGCTGCACGGAATAAGTATTTGTAAGGGGGTCAATTTAAAATTGGTTGCAGATAAAGTCGTCCCTGAGCAAAAATATTTTCTTCTCGGTGATATTAATTAAATTGTTATAATGTTATTGAATTTGTCAAATATGGGGCGAATTACTAAGCTTATTCTCAAGGAAATGAATTTTATTATTGATTTATCACCACTTTTATCAAGTAACCACTTTTATCATTCTTGGTAACATAGTTGTTTTCCATACAAAAAAATTCTGTCCCATATGCAGTGCATCATGCGAAAATCATAATATCTTTTTATCAATTCAATGTAATTGTTATGTTTGAAAGCTAGTGTAATAAAGCAATCATAACACATTTAAAAACATACTTCATCCATATTAAATAAATTAATTGAAGCTTGTACGATTATTTTAAATTTTGTCCCAAGGTCTTCAAAATATTAGAGCTACATTCTGTTACTATAGTAAACCGGATAAATACCAAGAGATGGCGCTATCCATTCTTTGGCAATTGTTTCATCATAAATATCTACTGTTCTATCCGTACGGTTTGCGGCGGTTGGGGCGCGGGTACACGATTCATTTATCCGATGGCTGCGGTGTGAGGCTCGTGGTTTTATTCTGTATGTACTCTGTTACCGGTGTTTTCGCGTAAGTATTCAGATATTTGCGTATAGTTTTATATTATTGAAGTAGCTCTAGTGTAAGATATATCGAATGTGCTTTTCTTTGTACATAATAATCTTTCATTTCTAAAAAAAATGTCACTAAAGTTAAATTTACCATTCTGTTACTGCACAACTATGTTACTAGCTACTGGTAATAGAGTTGTAGAGAGGTAACAGAGTTGTTATTACTAAGCTGTTACAAGCCATCGTTGGCGTCTGTATATCCGTATCTCTGCTTCTATGTTAGTAGGAATCAATATTATATAATAGCTATCTAATAAATTACATCATTTGTTCTAGATAATACATAGTACTTCGCTATGGCTCTCACCGCTGCTGAAAAGCAGCGGCGCTATAAAGAAAAGTGCAAATAAAACCCTGAAGAGGTAGCGGAAACTAAGAAAAAGGATTTAGAGAGATATCATAAAAAGAAACGCTTAATAAAAGACATGACTCAACTCAGTATAGAAACTACAGATCTTGTATAGATGGATTGACAGAAGAAAAAATAGCGTTACAAGTAGATTTCAGCGAAAATTACAATTGCAAGTTCCATGAAGTGATACAATCACACCACTTTCGTGATACTCGTAACCAGGTATCCTTACATACTGGCGTATTGTATAAGCGAAGCTTGGAAAATCGAAACATAGAGGTGAAGTCTTTTTGTACAGTATCAGGTAACCTCTCTCACGGCCCTTCGGCAATCTGGAGTCACCTTCATCCTATACTTTCCTCAATTCAAGACCAATCCCCTAAGATAAAAGTGATACACATATTTTCAGATGACCCGCTACTCAGTACCGCCAGAATCAAAACTTCTGCTTAATATGGACAAAACTTTACTCAAAGTACAACCTCACCAAGCCTACATGGAATTTTTTCGAGTGGGGACACGGCAAAGGAGCAGCTGTTGGTGTTGGTGTCTTTCTAAAACGGACTGCTGACCAGCTTGTTGCTGTTGGGAAAGACATTCTGATAGCGTCTTCGTTCTATCAGTCTCTGAAAGATAGTAGTAGAGTTAAGGTCAATCTTGAACTGATTATGATATTGAAAGAATCGCAAATGAAATTCCAGCAGAAATTGTTCCTTTCTATGGTATAATGAAAGTACATCAAGTGTACTACTAGTGTATTACAGAAGAAGTGGGAGCGCTGAAATATCGAGAGTTGAGCTGTTTCTGCTAGCTTGGTTTCTCCTCATGAATGAATCCAAAAAACTATTGTCCACTAAAGGATACAGTCGAAGAATCAAAGGAGTAATTCTACTAATCTAGCGGATATAAGTAATTTGATTGAACAGAAAAGGAAATCTTTTTGCAATGTAATTTACAGTTCGAGTTCGGAATCAGATGATGATAATCCTTTGCTACGATTAAAAGATAAGGCATCAGATCAACCCTTCTTGTCTAAAGAAAAAAATGATGAGAATCACTTGACTCATAAAGAAAATATTCATCCAAGTAAAATCAAAGAAGGAGTCTAGGTCTTAGTTAAAGTTTACAATTCTGAAAGTAAGTGTTTATCTAGGCAAAGCATTAAGCGAAGTAGACGATGATGGTGAAGTAAAAATTGTCTTTTTAAATTCTGTTGACGGTACTAGAAAAACATACAAATTAGTTTAAAATGATATATCATATGAACAATATGAGAGTTTCATAAGAGTTGTTTCAGTACCTAAAAAGTAAATAAAGGCAAAAGGGTATATTACCAGTTCCATACTCCACTAGAGATATTTGAAAAATAAGTTATCAGCTTAGGTTTAATTTGATCTCAATAAGATTTTTTAGCTTTTTACCCTTAAGTTTTATAATCTAATTAAGTTTCTAAAGTTCATAAAACAATTCATAGCCAAAAATATTGTTTTTTGTGATAGTAGTTCATAAATTTGTTGCGAATAGTACAACTATGTTATTGTTCCTACAACTTTGTTACTTTTGTGTCCCTAAATATATAAGAGTAATGTCTCGAATTTTATGAAAAGCTGACACCTGACTCTATGCATTGTTTATTAATTATTTAATATTCTCATTTATACACAACATCATCATTATATTTTAATAATTTAATTCAATTTACATAGTTTATAGTGAAAATTTGATCATTAAAACAAAGGAAGTAACAGAGTATATTTAACTTCCATTACTGTTCCTACTTAAGAAGAACTATTGTGTAATTTTGCATGTTGAACATGACTGTAAAGACTTAATTAATGTTCATAACAAAGAATGTTTCTAAAAATAATTGTTTGTTGTTTAAATATGAATAAATATATGATGGTAACAGAGTTGTAATTTTTTTTACCCTGCACTAGTAAATTCCTTGAAAATCTAAAAATAGTGGCAAGACATCGCGCCCAACCAGGATATTGCATTTAACAATGATATCTACATAGCATAAATACCTATACAACTAAGTTAAACAGAATTTTATTTTCTTTTGTTTTCGAAATTTAGTCACATTTTCTGCCACCGATTTTAAATTGACCCAAGGCCTATAAATAATTGTGCTGGGGGTTGTTTGTCCTCATCCAATTTATGTTTGTAAACTGCCTCCACAAAGAGGAGAAAATCCTAGTATGGATAAGGTTTTTTTTTTAAATAAAAGATAACTTTTTTTTAAAGTTTATATCTTTTGTTTTTTATGGTTGAGAAGTAATGGTAGGTTACGTCGCATACCCTTATAAATCACCACTCAATCTGCTACCACCGTTTGTTAACTAGATAATATTTTCACTGTAGTATAAGAAAAGCCACACAAAAGTAAAAAATGTAGATAGTAACAAAAGAAAGATTTAACTAACCTTATCACATTCCTCATCAGGTACTGCAGATTTGACTAGCCTCTTTCCAAAATTATCAATGAATGATGATTTCTTAAAATGTTTAGTGCACAACATTAAATGCCTAGAATGAAGATTGTTTTGAAATTCTGGTGACCACCAAGATTCATGAGGAAAACAGTACTTCGCCCATAATTCACATCTGAAAAAATACAATTAGATAGTAATATACTACTGAGGTGCTAAAAACGTGCTTGGAAGAAGAGTGCAATACAAGAAGATTGTTCCTTTCAAACAATGTGATTGTATTGTATACATATATAAATATTATTCCACAAGTTATTTCTATGTGTACCAATACATCTAGAACTTTTTATTATATTATGATTTCTATGTGATAAACCTCATGCTGTTCTGCATAATTTCTCTAATTTTCAGATTTATTTGCACACGTTTTTAAATCGCTTAATATGTATCTTAGGTTTTATTAGCCGATGCGGCCCATAATAATTTTTATTTCTGCTACTTTATTAATTCAGTGGTTCAAATTTAAACATTTTAAAACTGTTTTAATCAGTAATCAAAAAGCTATTTAGCATACGTACCGTACGCTATTTGTTCTCCCAGGCTTAGGAAAACGATGCAAGGTGATGTTACGATCATGAGCAGGAGAACATCCACACTTGTAACATTTCCTTTCGTTTTCTTTCATGATGAAAGATAAAATTGAGTCTCTGTCTCTTTAGCACAATGCACAGCACTTGTTTTTGAGTCTCTTTCTCACTGTAAACACTAAAACAGAGGAACGGGATGTTCAACTCAACGTTATTACTAACGTAAGAAATAAGTTTATATCGAAATATAAACTTAATTTGCAATACAAATAAACAAGAACGCAACAGCAAGCGCAAAGGATCTGCCATTTGTAATTTTGTTTATTTGCTGTTGCCATAACTTGCCTTTTTATTATAGTATTCAGTTTCATATTTATACATTTTGTTACTTCAATAAAGACGTAATAAATATATGTTTAACGAAATATATTATATAATAAAGTATTATAATTATTAAATAAAAAAATGATTAAAATGATGTGTCATTTAAAATAATATTTCTTTCATGGCAATATAACATAACGTGCGAGGGAGATAGATATTTTTCCATCTCGCTTCTTTAAAGCCCCCCAAGGTCATCTCCCAGTGCCAATCTGCTATTAGGAAGTTGACCGGCCCTGGGAAGAACTTTATAATTTGTGGTGGAAGTGACGAAAGCGAAAGACTTTTTTTTTTTGGAGTTTATGGCCTGGTATCTAGACCTTTAGGCCAAGTCTTAAGTATTTTTATTCGGTTTATTGTAATTTTCCCACTCCTTCATAGTATACTGCTTCACAATATGTTGATGCGTCACATTGTGCAGTTCTTGGGAGATTTTGGCGGCAACTTGATCCAGCAGACAGCTGATAGTTGGCGATGGTATCTAAAGGTGCCTATGCAAACAAACAGCTTATCTTGAGAATCCATCACCATCAGAGCACTTGTTTCACTGTTTCCACTAATAGTTCACATGCGTAGACACTTAATACACAAAATCGCAACACTTTTACATATCAAAGTCCACTTCAAACCATTATTTAAACAATAATACAGAAGCAGCAAACCGCCGCCGGTCTATTTCCCGCCAAAACTCCCAAGCGAAAGACTAATATCACTACCAGGGTTGCCAATGCCAATGTATGTAATTCCCCAAAAATCCGAAATAAATTCCCCAAATTTGGGGACAAAAATCTGCTGATTCCCCACAAATTCCCCACAATATTATTTTAAACAATGAAACAAGTTTTAACTATTTAAAGAATATTTATTTTTTTAAACTTTTTTCATACGTTTGATGTAAGTATTTTGATCGAAGGATTGTTAAGCTTGACACTGTTGCCCAATTTTTTATCCCCTCTCTTGTTGTCATTAAAGATACTACAGTATCTGTATTTAACCGATTGCAGTTTTATGTTTTTAAATATCAAATCGCACTAAATTTTCTTTCAACCGATGCGTTTGAGTATGACAATGTTCAATGGCAGAATGAGCAACAAAGACGTCACAATTTTTATGTTTGGAAACATGTATTCTCCCGAATCATTTTTAAGACGAAACATTTTACCCCAGTAACTTTCGGCTTCGATGTTATCACCATGATATTTCAAGCCCATGTTGATCAAAATTTAACAATGCGTGAGTTCGCCACTCGTCATCCAATTTTTTTGCGGTCACAAATTTATAAAACACAAAAACTGTTTAGCTTCTGATGGATTTACAGCAGATATAATAGAAAATAAAACATCCCCGAAATCAAATCGCTGGGTAATGTCTGATGTCAATTTAATATAAAACTCCTGGCAGGTTCTATAGAAATCTGAAATAGCAGCACGAGGTAAATTTTCATCATTTTTTAAATTTTCCATACTTTTTCCAGCCTTTGATCCAACATATATTTCATTTAAACTTAGTAAATAGTTGGATTTTTTAAGTCTGCGTTTAAAATATTATTAGCACAGGACTTGATATATCTAATTTTCATGAAATTAGAAGACAATGTTTTCAAAAGGTTTTCGACTTCTGGTTTCAATTTGTGAAGAAGGGTTTTTCTGATTGAAATAAGATATTGAATTTTGTTACCAGTCCAAGTACGTAAGACATGAATTCCAAATATACCACAGTGAATTGGTTGTTCATTGTAATCAGCATTTCTTCGGTAGTCTTCGACGAATCTGAGAAGACTGCTTCTGTTAAGTAGCCTTTTAATGGAATATACTGCTACAGATAAAAAAAGAAACTGAACCACAAACTATATAAGTCCATGAAAATTCTATATTAATATTCACAATAGCCACTAGACGTCAGAGTATTTTTAATGAATCCGGAATAAACACCAAATCTGTAGAAGGAAATGTATAAAACCTAAAAACATTAAAAGATACACAAAACAATTTTACGATTGGCAAAAGAATAAAGATGCCGAAATTTAAATATGGCGCAAAGAAGAGTATTGACTCGTCTGTTATCCATAAGTATATAAACTAAAAAAAATTAAAATGTTTGGAATTCTCGCAAAAGTAGTTAAGTAGTAAGATGTTAAAATCCCCACATTTTCCCCGAATAATGCCAGTCCCCAAAAAATCCCCGTTCAACTTGAGATTCCCCGCAGTTTGGGGAATTCCCCACAAATCGGCAACACTGATCACTACGATATGTTAACTTTAAAAAGTAATTTTTGTTTGTCTTTGTAATTTTTCTTCTTATTTTGGCTACTCTAAAAGGAATTCTACACCACAGAATACTTTACTCCTAGCGGAGAGTATGAAGTCAATCAACTATGTCTATGGTGTAAATTTGTAAATAAAACGTCAAAAATGTCATGTTCAGCTGTCAAATGTAATTTTTTTTTTATAACTGCCTTTACAACTTTGGTTTCTAGCCCTTCTGAGCCTGAAGTTACAATGTGTAATTGAACGTAAATTAGCAGAAAGGACTCAAATCACAAAATGTCACCTTTGAGTAATCGATGTTTTAAAGTTCAGAGATGTATTCTTCTGTGATATTGGACTCAGAATATTAAGGTGTTAGGTTAGTTAAACGATGTAACAACTGCATTTTAAATGGGTTTCAGTTTGATGGTACTTTGCATATTATTTATGAGTTATTGCCGAGGTCTTCGACTCTATTCACCATGAGACATTAATCAAGAAGCTACAGTACTATGGCGTCAAGAACACAGCGCTTAAACGTATTATTTCATATTTGAGTAATAGAATGCAGAAAGTAATTATCAATGGTAAAAGTTCTTCTGGTTTGTCCGTAAGGATAGGTGTCCCTCAGGGCTCAATCCTTGGCCCTTTCCTATTTTTAGTGTATATTAATGACTTACCTTCCCTTGTAGGGGATAATCATGATATAGTATTATTTGCCGATGATAATTCCTAGTTTTTTAAACTTAAACGTCTATCATTTAAATGTGATGAAGTGAATAATGCTATATCAAAATTAGTGCATTGGTTTAACGTTAATAATCTGCATTTAAACGGCAATAAAACTAAATTTATTAAATTTACAACAACGAATGTTAAAAATCTGAATACCAATGTTTTTTTAAATGAGAAAGAACTGAGCCCTGTTGAAACCTCTGTTGAAACCCTGTTGAAACTCTCGACGCAAAGCTTCAGTCGGGCTCCCATATGTCCAAACTAGCAAGCAGACTAAGCTCTGCAGCTTATGCTGTAAAAAGATTAGAGATCTCGCTAGTGTCGAGACAGCTAGATTAGTTTATTTCAGTTATTTCCATAGCATAATATCTTATGGCATTTTGCTATGGGGAAATGCGGCTGATTCAGTAACTATTTTTGTTTTGCAGAAGAGGGCCATAAGAGCTATTTACAAATGTAACCCGAGAGAGTCTCTAAGAGAAAATTTTAAAGAAATAAATATATTAACTTTGTGAAGTAACCTATGTACTTGTAGGTGATATTCGATGTATTAGAAAGTAAGCCAGTATTAAATAAACACTCGAGTTGAACAAACGTGTTGATCTTTCATTCCATTATTAATATCATAATTCATGGCGACCCTGCCAGTATATTTACGAAAATTTAATGTACAAAAATAAAATAGTTTTAGTAAAAAAAGTGAAATACACTCTGTAAACACTAGAACAAAAACAAGCTTGTGATACTGGTCTCTCGACTCCACAGAGTTAGTAATTCATTCTTGGGGCAATGTATACGCTATTACAACAAAGTCCCAGAAAGTATACAAGGTATCTCTATTGCCAAGTTTAAATATTTAATTAAACAAAAACTGTATAAAAAGGGTTATTATAATATAAATGAATACATGGTATATAATAACTCCTGGGAATGAGGTGGTCGCTTCCAAGCTTTTTGTAAATAGTTTGTAATCATTTGTATTTTAAAATTTATTTAAAAAAAAAAGTCCCGCTGGGTTTTCATGCTGGTTCTTCCCAGGACAGAGGTTTTTTTGAACCAGTGTTAAAATAAGAAAATACTTTCAATAAGAATTACTTGTAATCAATATTGAATAAAAAATTATTGTACTCTATTGGAAAAAAATATAAGTTTGAGTTCTTTTTGATAAATTGTTATTTTCATTATGCAGTCGTTATTTCAATTCTACTAAAATAACTCAAGGGTTTAATTAAAATTAAAGGATTTTTAAAAGAAAGCCAATAAATATATCAAAGCAAAATTATTTATTAATTAGCATGTATCGTTTAAAATTAAACACAATTAGGACCTGATGAACCGTGACTCTTATTATCAAAAAATCCAAAATGAACTCCTTACTTTTATCACACTGCTCCGTCTGCTCTATAAGCATCTCAAAATCAGTAACACAATCGAAGCCATTAACATCTTCAGTAATATTCTCGTTAACCTTTAAAGATTTCTAGAAATCTAAACAATTTTTGGGAATAAGGTCAAACATAGATATCAAGTCGTCTAGTTTTGCTTGAGCAATTTCTTTCCCGTTAGGCCAGAGCAATACTAAGTCCTCTTCGGATATTTCTAATCGTTTTCCTCTTAATTTCTTCTCAATGTTTAGCTTTTCAAACATTCCGTCAGTATTTTCCATGTAGATTGTTAAAGTGGATGGAGAGTAGTGGACTGTATTTATACTTTAACTGGCGGTGTGAGGTTAGCTA